TCCTTTAGCCACAGGGGTGTCACATGGTTTACAATCTTGCATGCCATATCTTTTAAGTACCTTTTCGATATAACTCTTTTGTGATAATCTAAGAATACCTCGAGAACAATTTCGGCGTATCTGAATTCCTAATACAAAAGAGGCGTCACCAAGATCTTTCATCTCAAAAATCTTTGCTAGAAATCTCTTGATTTCGTACAATAAGCCTATATCGTTGCTGGCAAGCAATATGTCATCGACATATAAAATCAGAAAAATATACTTGTTCCCACTGAACTTGTGGTATATACAATTATCGACCAAATTCATTTCAAAACCAAATGAGATGATCACCTAATGAAATTTGTAATATCATTGGCGAGACGCCAGTTTGAGTCCATAGATGAATTTCTTTAATTTACAAACCATTTGCTTTGCATCGTCCGATATAAAGTTTTCTGGTTGTACGATATAAATTATTTCATCAATGTCACCATTGAGAAATGCTGTCTTAACATCCATTTGATGTAGCTCAAGATCGAAATGCGCTACCAATGTCATTATAGTCCTGAAAGAGTCTTTCGAAGAAATCGGAGATAAAGTCTCTTTATAATCGATGCCTTCTTTTTGTGTAAAGCCCTTTGCGACAAGACGAGCCTTATACCTCTCTACATCACCTTTTGAATCTCTCTTGGTCTTTAATATCCATTTGCAACCAATGGGTTTTGCACCTTCAGGTAATGGAACGAGGTCCCATACATTATTGTCCTTCATGGACTTTATCTCTTCATTCATGGTATCGAGCCACTTTTGAGAGTTAGAACTTTCCATGGCTTGATGGAAGTTGATCGGATCATCTTCCACCATTTCAATGTCAACTTCACGTTCTTGAAAAAATACGATGTAATCATTTGAAACCGCACTTCTCCTCTCTCCAGTGGACCTTCTTAATGGTATTGGTTCTTGAGGCTGTAGAGTTTGTTCTTCTGGAACAATTTGTTAATCTTGAGAAGGAGGTATGACATTGTCTTGGTCCAGAGTTGCTTCTTGAACAATATCAAGGATAGAAACCTGATCATTGTCAATGACAATTAGAGGAATTTCAACGTGTTCCTCCTCAAAGACAAAGCCTGTAACCCTTTCTCCCCCTCCGGCAAACTCAACATCCTCAAAGAACCGAACATTTCCTGTCTCGAAAATTGCCTTAGTAGTGGGATCATAAAATTTGTAACCCCTGGACTTTTCAGAATATCCAATGAAATAGCAACTGATGGTCCTTGCGTCCAATTTCTTTTTATTTGACTTATAGGGCCTTGCCTCAGTTGGACACCCCCAAATATGTATATGCTTCAAACTAGGCTTTTTGCCCGTTCAAAGCTCATATGAGGTTTTATCAGTGGCCTTAGTTGGAACTCTGTTGAGTATATAAGCCGTGGTCTTTAATGCTTTGCCCCAAAGAGATTCTGGTAAGGTAGAATGACTAATCATACTCCTCACCATGTCCTTAAGCGTTCTGTTTCGTCTCTCAACAACACCATTCATAGTGGGCGAACCCGACATAGTTTACTGTGGGACGATACCGCATTCCTCTAGGAATTTAGCAAATGGTCCTGGACACTGTTCACCTGAACTGTAATATCTGCCATAGTATTCACCCCCACGGTCAGATTTGACGCTTTTAATCCTTTGGCTGAGTTGGTTTTCAACTTCAGCTTTATAATTTTTGAACACATCCAATGACTGATTTTTCATGAATGAGATATATGTAGCAATATCTTGAAAAGTCGTCTATGAACGTTATAAAATATTGTTGACCATTCCAATAACCTGTAGGGAATGGTCCACAAATATCCGTATGTATAAGTTCCAAGACGTCTAAAGTCCTATTGGCTTGAAATCTCCTTTTATTGGTTTGTTTTCCCTTTATACAGTTGACACACAAATCATAATCTGTGAAGTCAAGAATCTCGTCTGACACAAGTCTCTCAATTCTCCTTTTGGAGATGTGACCTAATATCTTGTGCTACAACGAGGCAAAATTCTTGTCGATTAATTTTCGCTTTACACCTCGAGTACTTACATACAAGGATTCATTAAAAGAAGCAATTGTATCAATTGAATAAAGATTGTCGTAGCCTGATAAAGAACCGAAACCAACCAATTTTGAATCCTGAAACATCTAAAATTTTCATTTCCAAACGAACAAGTATATCCAAATTTGTCCAAAACGGAAATAGAAATCAAATTCCGTCTAAAAGACGATACAATAAATGTCTCAACAAAATTCAAATAAAATCCAGTTTTTAACAATAATCTAAATTTTCCTATTACCTCTACTTCCATTCTTTTGCCGTCGCCAGCATAAATGTATTTTTCACCATCACTTGGTTTTCGGAAACTCAGGCAACCCTGCATAGACATACTAATGTGAGTTGTTGCACCAGAATCTATCCACCATGTATGTCTAGGTACCGAAGTTAAATTAATCTCAGAACAAACCAAATGAAGAAAAATACCTTTCTTTACACGCCATGCGTGGTAATTGGTGCAATTCTTCTTCTTATGACCTACAACTCCACAGAAGAAACAACCACCTTTAGTTGATTCCTTATGCTGTTTCTTTTGCGGTGTCGTACCCGCTGCTTCCTTATTAATCTTCATTTTCTTGTTCTTTTTGTCCTTAGAGGTGGTGGCTAAATGAGTACTTTCTGTCTTCTCATGCTTCAATCTTTCCTCTTCCCGGACACAGTGTGAGATGAGCTCATTAAGGGACCATGAGTCATTTTGACAGTTGTAACTCATCTTGAATTGACTGAAATGTGCCGGAAGGGATATCAGAACCAATTGCACCAACGAGTCTTCAGATAAATCCAACTTGAGTGTCTTTAGTTTTGAAGAAATGTGAGACATTTCCATAATGTACTCCCGAATGTTTCATTTCCCTTTCTACCTCATTGAGACAAGATTTGCCAAAAGTGTACTTGTTTCAGCATTTTCATTCTTGGCAAACCTCTTCTCAAGATCCTAAAGGAAACCCTTAGCCATAGTCACTTTATCGGACATAGTGTCCCGGAATGCTTCTAGAATAGCACGCTTCATGACCATTAACCTTATGCGGTTCGATCGTTCCCACTTTTCCATCTCCCTCTTGTCATCAGAGGTACTCTTATCAGTAAGTGCAGCAGGTTAATCGACCTGTAAAGCAAGGTCCAGGTCCATGACTCCGAGAACAATCATAACGTTCCCTTACCATGCCTTGAAGTTTGTGCCATTTAACATTGGAATTGAATTGATGCTAGCAGAGATATTAGCAGCAGAACCTGAAACTGAATTAGAGAACGTTTATTATGAATAGCTCACATGAATATCTTTAATATGCAAATAATAATAATAATCTCAAATAGTGGTAGGACCCATCACAAGATACCCAGCACAACATCAATATCTAGTCTTTGGACAGAGATATTGACTTGTAAGCGGTACTCTTGGTTCAGTGATCAAACATTGACGATAAAACAACGTGTCAATCAACAAACATTTCTTTGGATCGATTTATTGATCGCACATTAAACCAAATAATCGTCACACGTTTATCACCACATGTGCACGTGTATTCGGCTAAATATTGAGCTTCATTTGGGCCGACCAATATTCCCATGAATAACACATGCACAAACACCTTTTAATATTCTAAGTTAGTTAATTTTCACAAGAGAGGTTGCTTTGGCAACATGTTGTTTCAATTAACCAACTTTCGAATTTTATATCTCTTAAAAGAGTCCTTAGTACCAAAATTTGAGAAAGAGAATCACTAATTTTGCATATTTTGATTAGTTTTAAACTTTAGGGTCCTTAGGATTAATAATTCAAAACTTTGAGGGGGCAAAATTAATTAATTCCAAACTTTAGGGGTTGAAATTAATAAACTTGAAACTTTAAAAACCATAATTAATTAATTCAATACTTTAGAGGATCAATTAGAACAAATTTTAAAACTTTAGGGGCCAAAATTGACCAATTCAAAACTTTAGGGATCAAATTTTGAAAATTTGAAACTTTAAGGGTCAATTTGAATTAATTATGAACTTAGGGGGCCAATTTGAATTAATAATTAAACTTTGAGGGCTTTAAATATAAATACAGAACTTTAATGGCTTGAATTAATTAATTTTAAACTTTAGGAACTGAATTATTAAATCCAAAACTTAAAGGCCCAAATCTGAATATAACTTAAATATTAGGGACGAAATCTTAATTTTATACCCCTAACCTTAATTGCAACTAAGGACCTCAAATAATCTAATTTACAAAAGAAGCCCCCGCCCCCAAAATCAACCCAACTGAAATCTAGAAGGAAAATTTCTTCTTTTTTGCCCTCACAAGGCCGGCGCCCAAAGGAGCAGTGCCTCGACGCTGCGGCATACAACAACCGCGCTGCTGTAAGTGGTCGGCGGCAGGCTGCCTCCGGGCAGCCTGATATATATAATTTTTTTTTTTTTAAATCTGAATTCAATATCTGAATCACAAAACTCTGTATTCTTTAAAACCATAGGAAATCGAAAATTCCAGAAAATTTTAAACTCAAAATCTGTAATCTTAAATTTCTCAAACTGAATATCAAAGACTTATTCCAGATCTATGGAAATAATCAAGAATATCATGCAGTAGAAATTTCAGATTCAACAAAAATTAAATTCAAAATTGTTAAATCTAAAAACTTCAAATATATTGCAAGAACCAAATTAAATTATTCGATTATCAATGATTCAACATGAAAAGGCTCTGATACCACTTGTTAGATAATTTAATACTTTTAATCATCGAATCTTTCATGTTAAATCATCAAGAAATACAAGAATTAAAGTGAAAGCGTACCTGAATCAGACATGGTTAATGCAATAATGAATTTCACGGTATAGTCTTTCAAATCTACACGCAGTCTTCTTTTCCTCTCTGAAATGAAATGCAATAGCGATGGAATGCATTAGAGAATGAATAATAGGTGCGTATGATATAGGTCCATAACCCCCTCTTCTTACACACACAAATGCACGCTTCACCAATTTCATTTTCTTTTCCAGTATATTGAACCTCGAAATAGGTATAGTTCTTTCTTTCTATTGACCTTCTTTTTTGCTTCATTACTTCTCTTTTGTGTGTAGGGTTTATCGATTTTGCAAATGAGGCAGATGAGAGGGCCAAGGAAGCGGATATTCGGGTCCACGAATTGGAGGAGCAGAATAAGTTGTCTGAGGATTCTCATCTCTACGAGTACCGATGCGAGAAACAGATGGCAAATTAATTTCTTCACCAAATTTTCTTAATCTTTTTAACACTTATGTTGTTCACCTCTTATTGATTGTATGATTAATTGTGAAATTACCTCTGTGGGATTTGGAAATTTATTAAAAGTCATAGGTTTTGTAGGGCTAACTAACCAAATAAGTGATTTTGGGTAAAGGGAAAATATGAAGAAAGCAAATTGATCTTACTGAGCCGTGTATTATATAATTCCCTTGTTTTTTTTTTTTTCCTTGAGAGAACTTCAAATTGTTAATTTAGAAAAATGGAAACTTGGATGATGGTAATACATCCTGAAAATCAAAGTTCTTTTCAATGATAGAATAGTGTCACCCACTCAACTTTGGGCTGCATGAGTTTCTATGACATTTTTGGATAAAGTATGAACTAAGTGGGCATGAAAATGGAAAATGAATATTAGTAATACTGTCTGAACTTTATGATCCTCTTCTCTAACATCAATCTTTACTGCTGAGGAATTCTGTTATTGCTGCCGGCCTATTCTGAATATGTGACTTCTTTCTGTTTTAAATTTGCTACTTTTATGTCGTAACTTTGAACTTTGCTTCAGAATCTTCTCTTCCAGTTATATTTTGCGGTTTATGACTTTCTAGATTGATTAACATAGAAAATAGATAAACTATACATTTAACAACTGGTTGAGGATGTAAACGCTTGACAATGGGAGAATATAGTTTCAAAATCAAAGAAAATCCTTTGGTAACAATTTATATCTCATTTGGCCTAATAGAAGTTTCGTTTGTAGCCATTTGAAATCATAAATTACTTTGTATTACAAGTAACGTTTCTTTAATTTTACTGTCATTTTTTAAGTTTCAAGTTTCATGTAATGAATTTTCTGTTACATGAGGGGAAATTGTGATTAATTCAGAGTTATGACATGCGTGTGCAGGCCCATTGGTTTCTTTACCTCCTGTGGGAAGTCTTGTGGTCTATTTTCCTCAAGGTCATAGTGAACAAGTACGTCCTTTCTCTCTATTTCGAGAAATACAGTAAATTTTCACACGATATCTGATATGTACTTGTATATATTCTATTTGTAGGTGGCAGCATTGATTCAAAAGGAGGCTGAGAGCATCCCAAGTTATCCAAACCTTCCGTCGAAGTTGATCTGCATGCTCCATAATGTCAATTTACATGTATGAACACTTCCATAGTGCAACGGAAACTTTTAGACATTTTTTTCTCCGTGTCGAAATTTATTTTCTTCTTGGGTTTTATACTAGATAAGTACTTGATGATCGTCAATTTGATCTACTATGCAATAAATCAATATCAATAATGATGTTCAATTTGATCTATCCATGCAGTAAGTCAACATCAATGATATTTATCTTCAATGGCTTTCGTTGTTATTTGACTGGATCAATCTTATGTTTCTTTATCCTCTCCTCAGTAAGTTTTTTCCCCTGCCTTCCTTTTCATGGTATTTCAATTTGTAATTTTTGGCTCTTTAAGAGAGAATATGGATGGGATCACTTTACTGTATTTCAAGATTTTTATGGTGATGAGTTTCTGGTTCATGCCCCAATGTTCTCTCTTTTCACATGTGAAAAAGGATCTTGTTTTCTTGCTGTCGTTTTTGCTGTCTCACATCTGCTTGCAGAGTCAACCACTTGATGGTGGCTGTATATGTAGTTGTAGAGGCAGCTGTTCCATCTTTAATGTTTGTGTTGTTTCCCATTTCAGCATCTTGTCAGTTATTGCTTTGACATGTACGATTCACAATTTATGTTTAATGTTTGTGCACATTATATTGTATTTTCACATGCCTAACAAATGGGAAAAAAAAAAAAAGTGCTAGCAGATTTTGACAATACTGCGAGTTAATTTGTTGTAGTTTATAGTTAGGAGTTGTTTCAAAAAGTTCTCCATAAAAGGGTTAGTGGATTTAGATAAAAGATGGTGAAATGTGTCACATGTGGTTGAAAAGTTGATAAAAGTTGTGTGTTCCATGATATTTATGGTTAAAATTAATTGTTTACATTGACACCAATTTTTTAGCAACATTTTTTGCTTTCCTGAACAAGCACTTTGTAGATAAGCATTTACTATCCCCTTACATATTAGACTGCAAATAATTCTCTTTCTTTCCTTTTCTTTTGTCCCGTCTGTATTTGTTCCTTTTGGCATAATTATTTTCGTTCAATCAGTGTAAGCAATATGAGAAGGACCTAATGGACATGATCGATAGAGAAGCGGATGGAAGTGATAGTCTTGAGGGGATTTGTTCTGTGCCATTCAATTGCTGGTGGTACAAGCTAAGGTTTCCAAATCCTATCACATTGTGCAAATTTTCTATTTAAATTCCAAAATATGAATGTCTTGATTCATATTTGATTTTCATAAGAATATAAAACTGGTTTTGTACTGTTCACGGAAGGACAGGTCAACTGCACTGTAGAGGCCCAATTTATTCTCTCTGCTTTCACTGTATATACTCAATGTATCTATCTCTTCCTTTTCATTTCTTCCCCCATTTAGCCATCCTTGTTGACTATATAATAGTTATTTGCTTTCCATGTAGCCACCATTCTTTCTAGCTACAGTGGTTCTGCATTGTTCATTAAATGATCGCCCTAACAAGCGTCATTTCTTCCATCTCTAAACCCTCTTTTTTCTTTCCCGAATTTCAATCCCCATTCCCAACACACTTTAATTCCTCCTACAACGCTAAAAACCCTTCAATTAATTTCATCTCTCCAGGAATGAGCTGGCTGTACAAGCTTAGATTTGGTGTTCTTAACTCCACCGACTCCATGTGGATTCCTCTTTCGATTCTTCCATAGCGCATGGGACTAGACGATCATGTACTCGCTCTGAGCCATCAGTTTGTGCAATTCGAAGGAGGTAGAGAATATAGTATTAGCTTCCTCCATTGCAATTTATTGTTGAGTTTTTTTAAAACAGTATTTAATCGTATCCCCAAGAAAAATTTATGAATTTCAGTTCAGAAATTTGAGAAAAAATGTGAAGTTTAGGTTTGCTTTCATCTTAAATGTCTTAAAAGTTTGTTCTTATTGGCAAAAATTTTTAAATTTCTGCATTTATTTGATTAAGCTTGCTCATTTTTATCACCGGCAAAACTAAGATTTCAGATTTTGGGTGTGGTGTGGGGCTGAGCAACATAGGGAAGCAGCAATGCACAAAGGTCACTCAGATTAAAAGGCTAATTGCTAGAAACTGGTGAATATAAGCACAAGGAAGATTTGGAAATGCTTATAAATTTAGAGCTGGCAAAGTTAAATTATGTTGAGAACGAGTTCCGGAATTATGAATATATTGTAAGAAAAAATAATATATGAGATTGTGTATAAAATAAAAAGTGGAGCAATTTGATTGAATTATGCCACTATGAGTTTTAATTTTTGATTTCTTTTATTTTTTGATTGTCAAATTTGTCGACGAATAAATGAAACATAGGATTGAGTTGAGTATGACGTGGAGAAATGTGACTAGAGAGCTTGAAACATTGACCTCTTGAAAATTAACTTTTGAGAACATGAAAACTTCCAACTAGAAAGTAGAAACTGCATGATCGGCTGAATAATTTGTAAAAAGAAGTGACAAACTGTAATTTCTCTATTTTGTGATTTATGTTTTTGTGAACATTATTGTAGCTAGATGTTCCTTTAGTTTATCATTCACATATTGAAATGAGATATTGCACATGCTAGAAGAAATATGTAATCCTCCTTCTGGTTCTTGGCAAAATTTGAAGGTAAGTAGAATTTTCTGAGTACGAACTTTGTTGTTGTTGTTTTTTTTTTCTAGCAATTATATTTATCTTGTGAAAAATTGTTTCAGGATTACATGTGAAAATCTAGGGATGTTTTTTTTCTCAAGTTTCTTGTGATGATGATGGTAAGTTATTTTACTCAATACCATTTTTTTTTTTACTATAGAGATGCTAATGGCTCCGTGCAACCTTGTTAATGGGGTTTATAAACATTTGTTACTATATTCAGGAACCTTTGGCATAGTTAACTATAGTAATTGCTAAAACATTAATTATGTTGTAAGTCACGGTTGTATTCATCTTCAAAATGTTTGAGCTTCTGTGCATCCATGAATTTTTCTAGTCAATTTGGTAATTTGTTGTCCTCTTGCTCAGATCCGGAAATTTGATGATCACGATTTGAAGAATCTTTCGACCAGAATAATATCCGGGTATTCTTTTATATTTTTTCTCTTCTTTGTCTGTTTTTCTTCTCTTTTAAGGGATTAAATTTTCAAAGAATGTCGTTTCTTCTTTATCAAAAAAAAAAAAACCCAAAGCAAGCACTTGGAATTCAGTTTCTATTTCTAATATAGTGTTAGAAATTACATTTGTGCCTTTGTAACCTATACAATGCTCAAATCTTGAACTTTTTACTTCTTAGAGGGATTTAACTCTTACAGTATTGTAATTTTTACTACTGAAATCTAAGAATTCGTACAATAATATCTTTACGAAAGTAACTATCTTATGAAATAATAAACTTTTTTCTTTGTAAATCAATAAATTCAGGTAAAGGAATACAAGCACAGCCCATCAAGAAGGCCACGTAGGAGCCGCCGTAGAATATCGTAATTCTTACTACTGAAATCTAAGAATTCGTACAATAATATCTTTACGAAAGCAACTATCTTATGAAATAATAAACTTTTTTCTTTGTAAATTGATGAATTCAGGTGAAGGAATACAAGCACAGCCCATCAAGAAGGCCACGTAGGAGCCACCGTAGAAGTAGAAGTCCTAGAAGGAACAAAATGTGTTTTTTAGTTTGAAGTATATTTGCTCAATCTCTAAGATAGAGTTTATTTGTTTATTCAAGCAATATGTTCCTTGTGCAGCAAATCAATGGATCGATCCATTTCGATCAAAATCTTCTATTAAACTGCCCAGGTATTCGAGAATGAATGTCTCTTCTAATTTTATATGCTTCTGGATATAAGTATATCACACAAATCAGTAATCGATTCTTTGCTTGATTAAATTTAGAAAGGAAGATGAAGTTCAAGATGAAGGGCAATATCAATGCCACCATTAGCTTCCCCTTACCAGGTAAATTGGTCACGCTCTAACCAATAGAATGGGAACAAACATATATGAAAAGATGTTAAAATGAGCAACTTGATGCCCGAATTTTTTTGAATTTAACTTGTTATTTGGCTCAGCTCTCCTTTCTCTGGCAAGACTGCATCTATTTGGATTGGACACATTTTATTTAACAATTCAAATGCTGTTTAACATTTATATGCATGACATCTGTTTTCACATAGCTAAAAAATTTCAGCAAGGTTTTTGAATCCATAACTACGGGAATGATTACTATAATTTTCACTAACTTTAACTTGGAAAATGAGAAAACTCTCCAATATTTTTAGTTCTGGAATTGAATTTCACAATCACGTATAATTATCTGAATAATTCCAGTCGCTATAGTAACTACTTTTATGGTCCTTCAATTTACAACCGCAAGAACTCTTTCGCTGAACAAGTTTTTCTTTTATGTTAATGAGACAGTAAAGTGTATAACTAAAAGTTGTGTAGCATATGGAGGAGAAGAATCCTTGCCTGTGAACGTCAGCTTCTTTAATTTGCTAAACTTATTATGTATTTTGTAGTAAGAAAAATGACCTACTTGTCTCCTTAGGAAATGGAGTTAAACTTTGTTATAATGCTTATTAGCTAAATTATTATTGAGCCAAACTTCTCTCATTTGCGAAATTATTATGTCTTTCATAATACATTTTCATTCCGTTTCCAGAACCTATTTAATCTATTCATTTTCATTTGGGTATAGTTCTAGGTAACAAAACATATCCCTTCAAAATAGAAATTCCAATTTTTACTATCTTCTTATTTTTTCAATGTTCATTTGATAAAGTATATTTGTTTGGTGATTCTCGTTGTAGGTTCTTTCAAGTTTCCTCTTCATTCTCTTCTCTACTGAACAATACAAATCTAAGGTGAGGATTCGTTTTTTTTTTTGGTAAAGTTTATTTCTTTTACTTCTAAAAAATTTACTTTCAATTTCTTTTACCGTTAGCTTTAGTTTTAAAATTTTAAAATTTTTATTTTGTATTCATGATTTTTTCCCCCCTACAACTGTTTCGTTAAGTTTGTTTCTTTTACTTTTAAAGGAATTACTGTCCAAGACCTCAAGGTCCACAATTCCTGGTCACTTTGAAGCCTCCAAATATGTGATTTTCAATCATGGGTGAAATCTCTAGAATACTCCAGGTGAGTTTCTAATTAGGATTGGCATTTCTTCATTGTGTTGATCACATCTATTCTAAGCACTAAACTTTGTGCTGGTGGAAACTTTTCTAAAATAGATGAGTGATGAAGAACATGTCATTTTGAATTTTAAATTTACTTGAAAAAATTTGAATACATTGGTGGCTAAGGATATGTTTTACAGATGCTTTCTTAAAATATGTTCACAACTCATGAGTATAGTGCAAACTCGTCATGGCATCGATCATATCGAACTCTTCAGGTTCTTTATAACTGATATTGTTTTTGATGTATCCACTGCTCCATATATGATGCATGCTTTTGAATTAATTTTAGGTTGCGCTTGAAGATGGAATCAGTGTCTTGAGATTGGAATTATTGAGAAGATAATTCCAAATTTTCCTATTTTGACGTCCCAGTTTTTATGTTACTTAAAAAGTGTATTATTGTCTAACATCTTAAGCTTTGATGTGCTCTGGAGGATGTTATAAAAAAATTCATACGAGGAAGTTAGATATGAACCTTTATGTTGTCTACTAATTTTGTTGTACCGAAAGATAGTTGAGCTACATTGTAATTTTGCTGATGTCAGGCCATTTAGTAGATGCTTAATTTTGAGTTATTATAACAAGACAATTGCAGGTGTAATGTATATGTGAGCACATGTTTAAAACAGTTAAAAATAGTTTATCTTCTCAAGTTGTTCAATTTTTTACCATTCTTTTTGTGTACTGTCAAAGCCTATGGCAGATTTCACTTATATAAAATCGCTTTTCAAGATATGTGGTGGAAAATTGGTAATTTCAAATTTGTTAACTACAGTTAAAGAGTTTGACACTGGTGTTTGAATAAGTGATAAATCGAGTCAACTTAGGCTCTTTAAGAATGTGTAGGGACATTTTAATGGGTTATCCTCTAAAGAACATTTATGTGATTATTTTTTAAAGCGTTGGTTGGGAGGTAACCCAACGTTTTTATCCTTTCATTTACTTCGTTTTGCAATAGTTTTAGGAACTCTTCAATTTTTTATTTTTTATTATTATTATTATTATTATTATTTTTTTTTTTTGCATTATCAATAGTTTTAGGTCATCGATCATACATCCCTATCACATGGAGTCTAGGCATGGTCCACACGAGTTCCAACGCACCGAGCATGAGTCATGAGGTTGAAGTCCTATTTTAGTCAGTCATATATCAAATTAAACAAAGTGCATATTTTGAGCGAAATTTCGTTGGTAATTCACATTTTTGTGATATGAACCTTATGTTGAGACATAAATTATGCATTCTGCACACCAACAATGGACACATTGAATCAAGTTTGGGGGATTTGTGCACTACGTAGGTTATTTCTTGCTTCAGTTGCATCTGTTTACACTAGGTGGACTAATACGCATACTTTACACTTTTACGGGATGCCGTCAAAAAGAACGTCACAGCTCCACCACCAAGAGACGGTACCGCTGGTCCCAATTTTCATTAACCATTTTCATCTTGATCAAGGGAGTACTCGTACTCCATCTTGCGCTTAAATTTATTATTGTCCTTCAATTATGTATGTTTACACTTTTATTTCATTTTCACATTGAAGACAATGTATTATCTAAGTTTGGGGTTGGGTGACATAATCTTGGACACGAACATAATTTCGTCATTTTGGCTATATTCATCAATAACTATATTTAATTGTTGTAATTCGTGTGCCTGTCGAGGATTTAAAAAGATATTCTTTATATTTTATTCAGTTTGCTGTATTTCTATTCTTGCATGCTTGTGTGGATTTGATAGCATTGCTAGATATGATGTGATTATTGGATTGGTATAAATTACAAACTGTGGATATGGTGCTGAATAGATTAACTAGTACTTGTTGATGTAATGCTTGACATTTTTTTATGCACGCCACTCATGCTCGACATGTTAGGTTAGTGATTGAGGTTTTGAACATAAAGTAGGAGAAGAATGATAACTTTCTACTACATCAAATAGTAAACTACATTAAGACAGTTTGGATATGGTTGAGCAATCATAGGAAGACATTGAGATAAATGGGGGCTCCGTGCATGAATTCTATTGTGTGGATTGCTTAGACCAGTGAGATGAAAATTATGTGAAAATCTTAAATTGGGGGTTAATTTTGGAGGCCAAATGTCTAGAAAAATAATAAAGGGCATAAATCTAACTTGTGAAAACAACACACCTTTTTTCCATACCTTTATGATTCGAGCAAGTAAGCTTGTAAGGATATTTCAAAATTTGGTGCCCTAAAACTAATTGGTTTGGGAGTCATCGGCACAAAGCTCATTACATGGGTCATATAGAAAGCAAGAGGGGAAGAAGTGAATAAAAAGTCATCTGATCGAGCTTTTATAACTCGAGTGAATAAACCTACAAGGATTTAAAACCTGATACTCTAAAGCTAACTGGTTTGGGAGTCATCGGCTTAAAGCTCGCTACAGGGGTTATATAGAAAGCAAATGAGAAGATGATGTAGAAAAATGAAAAATGATGAAAAAAAAAAGATATATCAGAAAATAAGTAAGAGTCCCTTGGACATTTGGTTGAAGAAACTATACCTTTGAGGCGAGCCTAATAACTTAGTTTAATCTTTAAGTGTTGAATCAATCAAATATGGGAGAGCCTTCACTTGTTGACATGTGAACTTGTGATAGTGAAATCTATTCAAACTAAGAGAGGGTAAGGACTATAGTTATTTAAACTTCTAACTTTAGAACACACCTCAAGATAATAGAGTGAAAAGAATGAGTTTGGGGGGGGGGGTTGTGTATCGCTCGAGCGAAGTAAGGACATATATGACCACTTGGGGTCGAGATTACACCAATCATGAACTTAATATGTTGGTATGAGTTTACACACCCACGTCAAGTGTGCATTTAACAGGTAAATGTTGATTTTATTCATGCATTATTGAAATGTTTTCTAATGTCAATTACTCACTTCCGAACCTGAGACAAGGCAGGCTATTAAGCCATGTTTGTTGAGAGTCAAGTCACTATTTTGTTTAAGGACAAACAACAGTTCAAGTTTGGGGGATTTGATAAGTGTGTTTTTGCACACTTATTTAGATCACAAACATGACTTAATTACGAGCAAAATGGTTTAATTGTGGCTTAATTTCGTTTCATTTGTGATTTGTAGGGAATATTGATGGACATGGTGAAATTTAGGAGAAAATATTCGAAAAAGGACCAAAATGAAGGAAAACAAAAGCTCCACCACCAAGTTGTAAATAATCCATAGATGAGACGGCGATGAAATGAAGATTCAAGAGTGTTAGAGGTCAATTAGATGAGGAAAGGATTCAAAGAGGTGAAGTATAGTTGAAATATTATCAAGTATCAACTTTCAGACGAAAATGATATGTTTGGGATTTTTAGTCTCCACTTGAGACCCAATTTTGGTATAGTAAACATCTGAGTTTGGGAATGCCTATTTCTATGAAAATTGTAGATCTGTGAGTTCTCTTTCCAACGCACTTTAAATCATCTCAATCGGATATCAGGAGAGAAATATATGATCAAAATACTGAAAGCTGTCCGACGAAAAATTTTCTATAACCATGCGGTCGCATGGGTTTAATTCCTTGCGGTCGCACAAGGCAATACAGGGAAAAATCTGGGCTGAAACTTCTGAACCATGCGGTAGCATGGCTTTATACCATGCAGTCGCATGGTATAAAAATGTGACGAAATATCAGGTTTCCTTATTCGACTCAAACACAATTTAGTAAGGTTTTGGGTGACTTTCTTGACCTAATTCCGTCCCCAATAAATATTAGACGACCCTAAAACATAAGGAGGAGGGGATATACATAATTTTGGAGAATTTGGAGAGGAAGAATAAGGCAAAAACAAGGCAATCCACTTCAAAATTTAAGATTTCATTTCAAGAATCAATTGTGTGATGTTCTTCCTTGGTTTTAATTATTGTTTTTCTTTATTTCCCATTATTATTTCCCATTATGCTAGGCTAGATTTACATGTACTAGGAGATCGATGTACCATGTGATGTGATATTTAAAATTCTAGTTTTACAATTTGACATTAAAATATATTTCTTTTGTTTTGAATGATTTATATGCAATTATTGTTTCTGCAATTAAGGGCTTGTAATTGTGTGAGTTTGGGTGATTTATTCTTGCATTCGAGAGAATTGGAATAAGTTCGACATAATATAAATTATCGTAGGGTCCGACAGAGGATAGAAATATATCGCTATGCTTTACGTGAATATTTAAGTGTTCATAAAATCGCATGTATTTTTACATATGCACTTTTCATAGAAATATAGGTCGGTGGTAAGTAGAAATAGGTTCAATACATCTCGAGAGAGAGTATTGGATAGATTTAGGAACATTGATTCGTCACAATTGAAGTGTATTGTCATATTGTGAAACTAAGGTTTTAAAGTGATAATTGCATGGAAAATCGTGATCCTAGTGTGTTTAATTTCTATTGATTACAACAAACGTGCGTTTTCAACACTTGATTTCATTCTAGAGTATTAAAAATATTATTTTGCATATTTAATTTAATTCATAAAAATTGCATAATTAGAGTTTTCTTTCTAATATTAAGGTTTCCATTAGGTTCACAATCACTTTGGTAATTTAGTTTCGGTTAAAGCGACGATAGATAAAATTGAACTAATCAATCTCTGTGGGACGATATTCGGACTCATTTAATCCACTTTATTACTTGTTAAAGAACCGTACACTTGCGTTAGTTTTAAATCGAAAGAAATAATTTCGTGAATATTTAATTTTGAATTATTATAACAAGACAATTACGGTGTAATGTATATGTGAGCACATGTTTAAAATAGTTAAAAATAGTTTATCATCTCAAGTTGTTCGATTTTGACCATTCTTTTTGTGTACTGTCAATGTCTATGGCATATTTCACTTATATAAAATCGATTTTCAAGATATGTGGTAGAAAATTGGTAATTTGAAATTTGATGACTACAGTTAAGAGCTTTACACTTGTATTTGAATAAGTGATAAATCGAGTCAACTTAGGCTCTTTAAGAATGTGTAGGGAGTTTTTAATGGATTATCCTCTGAAGAACATTTATGTGATCATTTTCGATTTTCAGATTGGGGGATCACATCATTCTCATAATTCTTTATCTTAAATAAAGAAATCAATTTTGGTTATTAAGAGAAAATATTAAAGTGCTGGATCAATATTGTTTGCTTTAAGATTATCCGATGAGTATGCAATTTGGTTGTGTGAAATTAAACCATTCTCCTACTCCAAGATGATTATATTGTCATAAATTAAAAAGTGAAATGCGCACTAAATATATGATGGGGTATGCCAATTCATTTTGCACCCTTCTTTTGCAAAGATACACAAGGCCGGCCCTGAAGATACATATAAACATCCTTAATATGTAACGATTTGTTGCCTAAGGTCTCATAAGTTTCAGGGCCGGCCCTGAAGATACACGTAAATATCCTTAATATGCGTCTCTTAACATGTAAATATCCTTATTATGGTATGCTGCTTGTCAAAATGATGCTGATGTGTTCAAATCTTTAAAGCTTCTTTTTGTTGTTCTTTAATGGATGGGTAGTATATTTAAGTTTATTAATTACTCCGTATAGGTTATTGCTATTTAATTGTGCAGTTTTATCATCCATAATGCAATATTTTAACGCGCTAACATTAATGTATACATATATATATATTGAGAAATCAAGAATTAAGATCATGTCTATCAAGGATTTTGTTTTTGCTTCTATTTCTTGTAGAATTTTCTAATAATGTTACCTTAGGTCAACTTCCTCTGAAAGCTTTTTAGTCAAATAAAGCACTTCCACAACATTATTCAAATAAGTTCAAAAGTAATTTTCTTAATTTTAAAAGCAATTTTTGACTTTCAAAATGTCTTACCAAACGAGTTTCTTTAATCAATAGTATTGGTTTTTACTCCATCGACGTAAAATTTTGGGACAATAATTCGTAATCTGTTGACATGATTGGCATTATGAACAAATTTTTTTTTTAACCTCTCGAGCCTGCAAAATGGATTTTCATTAATATTTATGACCGACATAAAGAATCGGTCATACACGGACAAACCACCTTACATTTAATTCTTGCACTTATATTTTTATATACATTCGTTGTTGCTTTAAATTGAATAAAAGGCCATGGGCCCAACACCATTTATGATTCAAATGTCTAAAGTCTTAGAAAGAAATTCATTTTGGTATTACAGCAGTCACAAACACAGACATTTTGAGTTGGTAGGGACACAATCAAACACTCAAAGAATACAAATTTACGTTTATCTCAAATATCACCAAGTTTGTCATCTTCCTTTTTTTTTAATCTCCAATAATCTTTTCATTAACAATGTGATCATCAAAAGATAAACCATATTTACGTGTAAATTATTTTTCCATCACAATTAATGCAAACAATCAATTCAAGTGTAAAATACAAAATCATAACAAATTCTGAATGCTACATTATCAACTGCATTCCAATTCAAATAAAGACAAAAAAATCACAACAAGAATTCATTACCATAAAATCACCAAAACAAAATAGAATTTGAAGCACTTAAGGGAATGCCCAATTCCATTTCATAAGAAAATACAAAAGATATCATCAAAATGAAATAATTTCCTAAGGCTTCAAATCTGAATTTTGAGGAAACAAAAAGTTAAATAAATAAATTTTAAGCTGGTGGGTCAAGTGACCCACAAGGACCCATTGTGGGTCCGCTAGTGTATCACAATTTACTGTAAAATTTCACAAAATTCGGTTAATATTAGGAATTATCATTAACAAAAATAATGAAAAGATTTTGTTCGAAGACATCATCAAAATAATATAATTACATCCATAATTCACCATTAACAAACCCTTACCATTCTTCACTTTCTCGTAGAACAAACACCCCATCCTGAGCAAAAGAGAGAGAGTTGAACTTGTATATGATCATACAGGAAAAGTTTAAAACTTTAAATATAAAAAAAATAAAAATAAAAAACAAGGGATGGAATTAAATGAAATTAGTTGTATGGCGATGTTATAAGATCTCCAAAAGTTCTTATCAATTATCAAGGTCTTCATTTATTTTTCGGTGATCACATGTATGCAAGTACAAGCCAAGCATATAGATGCATATACATATTGTTTGGTTTATTGCTTGCAATGGGTTCAATTTGCAAGCCTTCTAAAAATGGAGTGGCAATTTTGTAAAGGTGTTTTGCATCAACCATTTGAAGATCAATTCATTCGCGTGTTGAGTCACATGAATTCCGTCCCAACTTATGTATCTATACGGATTGGAACAGACTGGTACTCCGGGCATACTACAAAACCTGTTCATATCAAAATTGTAAGCACCTCCGATTCCACAACAAGCTTTTCGTACAGCATTGATATCAAAGTCTGTAAGAGCGAAGAACATAACAAAAGTCAAATACATGTTTGGTTTACAGCACTTGACATGATGACAAAACAAGACAGTATCTTCATACTCCCCTAATTCATCTAACTGAACGAGCAAGCTAATAGTTTTGAAGTTTCATAACTCCCTTACCTAATAATCGCGCTTTAGATAGAATCCAAAGGTAGGCATTGTAGTAATCGGCATAGATAATTGTGGTATTTGGGTTTTGTGCCTTCAATTCATTAGTGGCTTGTTGCAGTTGCTCATTATGATAAATCATCAAGTTATTTATGTCTTTTAGGCAATGAAATTCTTCGTCATAAGCTGTTGAATCATTGGTCTGAAACCCAGTAAGATATAGCGGAAAACAGCCAACAGGGAAATTACCAGGTACTATTACTCGAGTAGCTCCAAACTGGATTGCTTTCTGGACCATTACCAAAAGATAGTTACAGTGACCATAAAAGAAGCACATATAGCAGTATCATTAATAAGAAAACTTACCTTAACAGCAATTGCAATCACGCCAACAACTTGTGGTACCATTTGTTTAGCCTCTTGAATAGATTTTCCTTGGAATAATGCATAGTTATAGTCATTAGATCCGATTTCTCCAACCATGAAGAGAGCATTTGCATTCTTCTCTGCACAATCTGGGAAAAAGAAAATTTATTTCTTACACTTATTTCATTTTACGAAGATTAAATAATCATCAACCTTTGTTACTGTGGCATGTGGAATTGAAAAAAGAAGCCATCCAATCCAATTGTACACTAAGAGAACTTGGAGTAAATGGCGATCTAATATTCATAGCTGCTAAGGTTTCGACTGGTAAAGCAGTTGCGCCTGCTACTGCAAAGTTTATGCCATTTGAGAAGTCTGCTCCGATTTCCTTATAAGGATTCAGGAATGGAAGACCAGCTGATAATGCTGTAACATATACATATGCAAATAATTTTAGACAGGCATATCTACATATCAAAATTTTGTCTTCAATACGCCTCTCAACATGACATTTTATATCAGGTTGAATCAAGGAGATGTCTACAAACAAAATAAAGGCCGAAATTGTCTGAAATTTCATGAACGAATTATTTCTTACCAGTGTAGTCAATGATAAGGAGACCATTTGAGCATCGACCAGTTGCACCCCTAAAGAAATTTTGACCATAAGGAAAACTTGAACACAAAGATCTTGATGGACTTTCACGAATTAGATTTCCAGTATCGGCTTTTGAAGCGCCAAGCTGATATATTTTATCAAAGTAGGAGGATTTGGGACCAAATTTTTGGGCATCGCTCACTTGAAAATAAAGAAGAAAAATCAAACTAGGAAATAGAGAGACATAACTTCTTGTTAGATGAAAATTAGCCATTGCCTGAACAAAGAAAATCCTTAAATTATTTTGAGTGTGTAATTCCTAATGCGTGGTTCATATTTATAGATGTTGGGAACTCTGCATTGAATATTTCGACCATTTATGATTTAACTATTGTTACTGTATATCAACCTTGCTCGAGATATAATAACTTGGAACACCTCTCTACTTGCTCTCATGCCCTCTATGCCCCTACCGTTCCCTCTTATCCACCACCTTCCTCAACTTTTCTTACCCATAAGCCTAGCAAATATGGAGTCTTTGACGATTGGCGAGCTGTGTGGATATGGGCAATACATTTGAATATTTTTATTTTTGTTTTTCCCCTCTAATGATCAAGATTAGCAACGGGGTCAGGAGATGACAAAATTAGAGCTTGTTTGAGCCACATTATTTTCAAAAAAATACATTCTTCAACAGTGATTTGACATTATTTCAATCACACATTCTTTAATAAAATAATATTACACGCAAATCTAAAACATTTTCTTGTTTTTTAACTACACATTTCCCATTAATTTGACATGAATAATGAATCTTTTTTCCTTATAATGTGGCTCAAACATGGACTTAATATATATATTTTTTTTGCACTCAATAATACATAGAAGAAAAAACTTCATTAGAAATAATTTTTATATATGGAAATCCTAATCGTGGTTGCTATCAACGTATCTGATAAAGATGCGAGTTTTGGTAAGGATGCATTTTGTAATAATATAAAAGTCAATGGATGTCTTCATCACCCTCGTTTTTCTCTTTAGTCGGATATCCAGCCATACTGAGCAAATCGTGGGGAGAAATACATAAATTTATTCTTCTTTAATTTGCTTGAGTACCTTGATTTAAT